TGGCCTGTGTTAACGGGCGTTTACAGACTTCATATTTTCACATAAATGACATTTTGGAAAACGATTGCATTGCAATGCAGTTTGTGCAAGTCCAGAACAGAAACGAGTTGCTTGCAATAAGACAAAAAACGGCCAGTTGCTGATCACGTAAGTTCCAGGGACAGCTCCTTAAAGGGGTCATATGATGCGATTTAAATTTTTCCTTTCTCTTTGGAGTGTTACAAGCTCTTGGAAAATAATGTGTTTTTTGAACCTTAAACCACATAAACACATTTCATTACACCAAATAAACAAAATAATGTTCTTTTTAGCAACATCATATGACCCCTTTAAGTTGGGCCATCCTATCCTACATGACTGACCTCTCGCTCGCTCGCACCAACAGGAGGAGAGGGGGGTCATGTTACTCTCTACACTGCACTCAACCTGAGGGATTCCTATACGTTCAGTCTTTGAGGAGATATAAAAAACAGCGCATACCGCAGGAACGGTATAACGGAAAATATTAGTGGTTTTGAAACCGTGACATTTTCAAAACGCGTTATACCTTGAAACCGGTTTCAAACCGCGGTATACCTTGAAACCGGTTATTGGCCCATGCCTAGTCTCAGCTTTCAAATGTCATTCTTTTAAGAAATTCAAACAATACAGTTTTGTGGCTCTTTAATGTGTCGTGACAAATCATTGCATTGCCTCAGTTGAAGCAAACTGATGGTCTTTTCATATTTACTTAAAGCACGAAATTAAAAGGTTCTAGGTATCAGTGAACAAAGGAAAAATCTGCTAGAGAAGCATAGAGAGTGACCAACAATACTTTTGGAGAAGCTAAAAAAATTACTGTAGCATAGGCCCCAAGAACAAGGGCAAATTAACATACAAATATATTGTATTAAAATCAGTGAATTGTTTGTACTTTTATTTATTTGTTTGTATACTTGATTTATTATTTATGACGGCTGTTACACTTTTTATTTCCAGTGTTTAAAGAGGTGTGTGTCAAGGCTGCAAAAAGACTTTCCTAAAGACCTCATGCAGTATTTTGATCCAGTTCAGTTGGAAGACAAAGTGACATGTGTGACTAAATGTCATATAGATCAGTGGTTCCCAACCCTGGCCCTGGAGGCACCCCAACACTGCACGTCTTGCATGTCTCCTTAATCAAGCACACCTGATTCAGGTCATCAGCTCATTAGTAGAGACTCCAAGACCTGAAACTGGTGTGTCAGAGAAAGGAGACATGCAAAATGTGCAGTGTTGGGGTGCCTCCAGGACCAGGGTTGGGAACCACTGATATAGATCATCCTCATCCAAAAACATGCAGGAACAGCGGCACCTGTGAAGTTACTAGAAAAGGTCCATCCTGCTTGTATGTACTTTCATTTAACTATATTCTTTAAGATTTTTTTAGTCTTCTCTGACAGAGGCACCTCTTTAGGGGATGTGATGGTTAAAGATCTAGACTGGAAAGGTCTGTCCCCATCATAAGTGTACTGTTACTTTAAATAAGAACATCTGCCAGATGACTAGCTTGAATACAGAAGTATATTTCTGTGTAATCAATGTCAATCAGGATAAAATATTTCATGTGATCAAGAAATATTGGTGCAAGACCAGTCCAAGCGACTGGAATGGTCTAAAAAATGAAACAAAAGCAATAGTAACAAATATGTGCAGATATTTCTCAGAAAATGTAAAACCACTTATAATGCTTTTTTCCTCTAGTTGCCTCCATACTGGCAGCCATAGCAGTAATAACTGTAGCATTTCTGACAGCTTATCTCGTAATAAACAAACAGACGGTGAAGAGGTAATTCATTGCATACATCTTTATCAAACTGTTTCAGTTCAGCAATGTTCACAGGAGGTCTGGTGTCTTGAGATCATGCCAAAGCATTTTAATCAGGTTGAGGTCAGGACTCTGACTTGGCCACTCCAGAAGGCATATTTTCTTCTGCAGAATAATTCACTCCTGTGCTTTGGGTTGTTATCCCATATAGCATCAGTCGACATCTGTCGATCATCAGTGAGTGGACAGATGAACTTCATGTAAAATTGGAAAATTCATGTTTCTGTTGATGACAGCGAGCTGTTCAGTCCCTGTGAACACAAGACCATTGCAGTATCATGTCTGACGGATTTGCAGACAAACATAACAGATTTGTTTCAATGGCCGGAAAAAAGCATCAGAAAATACAGTTTGCTTGGACTCTGCTATTAGTTTGATCATTTTCTAATATCATTTGTCTGTTTAGCTATACCACTGAATATGAGGGCTACGATCCTGCTATTAAATCTGTGTGCGATTGAACATTTCCTGACAGCCCCCCACCTAAAAATCTTTGATTATGTGATCTCTCAGGTTTACTGAAAACAGCATATTCTCTTATTTAAATGTTTATATCGATGTGTATTGGGAAAAAGATGATGTTCTTGCGATAAAATGCATTTTTATGTCTTCCTGTCCATAACGAATTTCTTTGTCATACAGGAATCAGGACATTAAGCAAGAACTAGTCAAAGAATGTTTAGAGGATGACTTTGAGTGGCCACCAAAAAAGAAAACATCATACACAGGTAAATATATTTTCTGCATCATTCAACAATTGTTGCCTGTAGATAGTAACTGAATATTTGTATCATCCACCAAATTATTATTTGCTTTATGCATTTTATGCTAAAATGTTGTTTCAGTAAATAAGATAAAACACTTGATTTTAATCTGAATTACTAAGTAAACACTCAATTATTTTATACCTATAATGCATTCTGAACTATATGGGGAATTAAAGAATTAGACTGACAAATTTAGTGCACTATTTATGGAACAGAGAGTGATTTTGGATGCAGAATATTATTCCGAACAGCAAAAATATTCTTAAACAACTAAGTAATATCAAAAATGTTAAATGTAGGAATGTCTGCTGAACATTGCACCATTCCTGGCTGTGTGTAGCAGCGTAACTAGAGTAGTGGAAAAGTTTTGTTTCAAGATGCCTGATCATAACACTTTGCAAGGCACATTTCAGTGTGGATTATTTTGTGGTCCTGTGGTGTAAAACAGACTTTGCAAAGAGAGAAGGGTGGGGCAGTTAAACTATATTGAGACCAGACAGTCCGTGTGCGAACAGTTTAATTTCACATGTAAAGATGCACAGTAGCAGAACAAATAAAATAAAAATAAATGATGTGACTTCTTTATTTCTTAAGAGTTTCTAGGCAAGTTAGAAACCCTGTGTTTTCATTTTGATACAATAAGAGCACTGTGGGCTGATCTAAAATAAAGCTACGCTGTGTATAAAATACTTTTTTTCCTCACATAATCTACTTTTCCTGTTTAACAAGTCTCTGATTAGTCAACATACCTCTTTTATATTCTCAGCTGACAGATATGATAATCCGGTATACTCACCGGAAGGGATACATAAGCAGGGAAGTTTCGAAATATATAAACCAGATTTATCTTCGGATCGATCTTACACCCAGAAACTCTCACCTGAACCTGATATTCATCTCCGGTATCTTCAGAGGGATCAGTCTGTGAGTACTGAGAGGATATATACCAGGGGTGGCGAACTCCGGTCCTGGAGAGCCGCAGCCCTGCAGAGTTCAGCTCCAACCCTAATTAAAACTGACCTGCCTGTAGCTTCCTAGTAACCCTTCAGACCTTGATTAGCTTGTTCAGGTGTGTTTGATTAGGGTTGAAGCAAAACTCTGCAGGGCTGCGGCTCTCCAGGACTGACGTTCGCCACCCCTGATATATACACAGATATACACTCAGCAACATATGTTGTTCTTGCAAACAGTATTTCTACTCTCAACAATAGCTTTGATCTGGTTGATAAAGGACACATTTTAATTATTGAGCCCTTTTACTACACTACGTATTTCCATATGAAGGTACCTGTTACAAAATAGCCAATGTTTTTTACAGTTACATTCCTTGGAATGGAATAGAAGTATTTTAACATCATTACCGTCATGTTCTTTGATAATTACACATTATTTGTTTTGCTCATAACAGATGAGAGTGGACAGACCTCAGATCCGGACATCTTTTGATATTTAAGTGTGATATTCTAAGTGCATAGAAACACAAGCAGGATGGCTATGTATGACATATTGAATGTATCTGTAGCTTTTTTCTTTAAAAATATTTAGTCTTTATGTAACAAAACTCAAATCAGTTGTGAGAGAGTTCTATTTATACCATAAAATCTACTATTGTAGTACAATTGTTCATATTTTCTGTATCTCATTTTTACAGGCTTTACTTTATATTAGTGCTACTTCATGTTTTATTATTGTTAGTCTTAATGTCACATTGCATCAATATACATTTTTTTTTTTATTACATATTAACCACAAATTATTTATTTTATTACCATTACACTTAAGATGTTGTTTGTAAATTAGCACTTGCTTATGTTAATTTAATAATAAATTATCTATATTCTCAATTGCTTTAGTTGTCGTCTTTTTCACTGTAAATTCACTCAAAATTCAACCAAATACATTTTTTTCGGTTGCACTTTATTTTACAGTACGTGCACTTACATGTACTTACAGTGTACTGAAAGTACTGGTAATATAAGGTTACTACACAGGGTAGGGTTAAGTTTAGGGGTAGTTTCAGGGTTAGTACCTACTTATTACCTAGTTATTGTAATTACTATAAGTACATCGTGCGTACACAAGTAACAGGACTGTAAAATAAAGTGCCTTTTTTTCTATTCACAGGCATGTAACACTCTTTGTCCTTCTTGCAAGAGCACAGCTCATGGGGCTTCCTTACTGTATATTCTACTGCTCAGTTTTGTATTCTTTTAAAATTACATTTAGTTACATCATTCTCTACAAGTCCCCCCACCACTTATGTATTTGATTTTACAACCTAGTGTTTCACAAAGGGAGTTGCTTTATCTCAGATATCTTATCATCAGCCGCATGACAAACAGTGTGAGGGATGGTGAGATACACAGGTCATGTTGGGTGGGAAGCCACACATCGAACAGATAATCAGGAAAAATAAACTTATAATTGGTAAATGATAATTGAGAAATGTTGCAAATGGTATCATGTGGTGCATTGGTCATCATGTAAACATATTACTCGCTTGTGTAATGCTACTCAATCGAAAATGTAATGGGGTCCTTAACCCAGTGTTTCCCAACCCTTGTTCCTGAAGGCAAAATAGGCTACTGTACACATTTTGGATTTTACTCAACCATTTCAGGGCTGCATTTCCCAAAAGTTAATCGTAGCATTGGTGACAATGGTTCTACGATCAATTTAGGCTTACGATGCTTTTGGGAAACGCAGCCCAGGTCTTGGACACTCTACTAACTATAGAGTTTAATCGTAGCATTGGTGACAATGGTTCTACGATCAATTTAGGCTTACGATGCTTTTGGGAAACGCAGCCCTGAAATGGTTGAGTAAAATCCAAAATGTGTACAGTAGCCTATTTTGCCTTCAGGAACAAGGGTTGGGAAACACTGGGTTAAGGACCGCTATAATAAAGCATTACCTTTTCGAATGAGTAGCATTACACAAGCGAGTAATATGTTTACATGATGAGTCCTGTTGCACCACATGACAACTTTGGAACCAAAAGAGCCTCTGAATCTTTGAATTAAGCTCTACAAGAATCCTTGCATCCAGTTTAGTTTACCTTGGGAAGTACTTTTTTCTCAACAGCACCAGACTGGTGATAATATACAAATAGCAAAATAAGGCTGTACATTTACATTTCCTCACAATTTTAATATGTAGACACTTGGTTTAGTATTTAATTACATTCATTTTTTATGTCTTGGTTATTTTTATAACAAACTTGTTTTAACAGAATCATCATTCTGAAATATCAACACAAGTTTAGTGAAACAATATTAATAATTTATACGCACACATTGTCCAAACAAAAGACAGAAACAACATCCGAACCTGTAACAAAGTAAATGTAATAATGTTAATTAGGCTGAACCTCTTCAGAATTCAACTGAGACTGGCTAAGCATATCATTTCTCAGAATCCAGGGACGATCTTTTCAGCAAAGCTACTGGAACTAACAAAGGATTGAGAGGACAGGTGCCAGCTGTGGCCCAGTCTTTTTTGTCCTTTGCTGGTTCTGTGAAAGATGACTCACTGGAGGGCTCTTTAGTGGATCCCACAGTAGTCCTGAGATTCTGTGTTAATGCAGTCGAATCAGCTGCATTAGCCTGTTGGATGTCCCTGTCAGTGTTTGAAGAGGAAGCTGGCATTTTTGCAGGTTGGGTGAGCTGTGAGTATATCTGGAGAAAATGATGTTGAAGTTCCTTGCAGTCCAGTGAGGGGAGCTCCTCAGGCAAACACATCAGCATATCCAACAGCACTGCGCTCTCTGAGGATGGAATGTGGAAAATATGAGAAAAAAGTAGAGTTCTGTTCACATATCTAAAAAGGGATACTAGTTCACCCAAAATGAAAATTCTGTCATTTACTCACTCTCATGTCATTCCTATATATGAATGACTTGTACGGAAAAATGTTTCAATGTTTATGTAGATAAAGTGAAATCAGAAGGGTCCAAAACAACACTGATCCACATTTGCAAAAAAAAAAAAAACTTATTTTAAAGACAAAGTATCTTTGGGTTCCACAGAATAAAGAACATCATATGACAAGACGGCAAGTAAATAAATTGTCATTTTTGGGTGAACTATGCGTTTAAGTTGATCTAACTTCCACATCCCTGGAACAATGTGTAAAATGCTCATGAAGAGTGTAATTTATTCAAATATTTAATAGAATATTATATGCAAATGTATAATTTAACAATACTTACCCATTGAAGTAAGAGCTGAATTGCAGGTTTTAGAGTCAATGTCACTTAAATATTGATAAATCTTGTCAAAATTCACAACACACTTCAGCGTTATTGGTTTGCATGGGTAATCATGATCTAACAGTTCCGACTGAACTTGATTGTGCTTATTTGGGGAAACTGATGGTGAAACAGGACTGGACACTGCTGGTTCTACTTCTGACTGCAGATGGCTTGGGCTTCTTGTCATCTGTGAGGATCTTGGTGTGGGTGTTTTAGGAGTTTTAGGCACTAGAGGTGAACTGCTTGATGCATTATCCAACTGGCTAAGATGGTCAACAGCATTAGAACTAAAGTCAGGCTGAATAAGAGATGCAACTGAGGGAGAAATGCTGGGATTTGGGCTCATGCCTGAGGCAGAAGGCCGAGAGGGGGTTTTAGGGGACAGGACAGGGTGAAGACTGGAGAAAGCGGGTGTTTGGATGATGGGGTGTGGAGGTTCAGAGTGCATCAGGCCACAGGGCTCAACGGCAGCAATCACAAGCATCTGATGACAAAGTGAAAACAAACAGAAATTTGATCTGCTTGATAAAGACAATAAAATAAGTCAAATACTGTACACTGTAAGTGACTGACAAGTGTTATGTACTTTGCTCTCTAGGTGTGCTATACATAGAAGTCATAAATAAGTATCATAAGAGAATGACCGAATCAGTTGCTGAAATTACATACTTATGGTGCAAGAATAAGCATCAATGTATCATGTACCAGAAGTAAGTAAATATAACCTCATTGTCAAATACAAAGATTATCCATCACAATTTTTCCACTTCCATGTAGTGACTGTTCTAGCATCTTCAGTCAAACTCAAAACTAGTTTGAATTTTTGTGCAGTCAGACCAGTGTTGGGTAAGTTCCTCTAAAAAAGTAATTAATTACTAGTTACTAATTACATCTTCAACAGTGTAATTAGATTACTGTACAAATTACTCTCTCCAACAAGTATTTAATTACGTATTATTAATTACTTTCTAAATCCTATATCAACCTTGATAAGTTAACGTTACAAGGATAGACATGAAATGGTTCTTTTAATTCTTTCAAGTAACTACATAAATTATTCTGGTCACACTTTAGATTAGGGTCCATTTCTATTTCAACTATTAACTATGACTTTTGCCTTAAAATACTCCTAATTACGGCTTATTAATACTTAGTATAGTAGTTGTTAAGTTTAAGAATTGGGTAGGATTTAGAATAAGATCTTGCAGATCTTGCTTTTTAAGTAATAATAAACAGCCAATATCCCAGTAGTATTCATGCTAATAACCAACTAGTTAATAATGAGAATTGGACACTAAAGTGTTACCAATATTCTTATTAACGTACCAAAGAATTTAAAGTGAGAAGGGTACATAAAAAGCATGCATTTACATTTACATTTAGTCATTTAGCAGACGCTTTTATCCAGTGACTTACAAATGAGGACAATAGAAGCAATCAAAACTAACAAAAGAGCAACAATACCTATCTGAGAGGTAAGACTCAAACCACTGGAGTGCGGTTCCCGAGATGACATTTTCCAATTTTAATCTATTTAAAGGCGCAATAGGAGATCTTGGAAAATGCTAACTTTAGCCTGATAGCACTGAAAGCGAATGTCCCAACGTCCCACCCTCCCTGCAATCACCGTCCAAAGCCACGCCCCCTGAACGCATATACGCTCACAGACCAGAATACCAGAGACAACATTACTACAATAGGCTACATCAGCGGTTCCCAATTCCAGCCCATGTTCCGAAGTGAAGTAAACTTCAACGTATTTCCCCCTCTCAGTGAGGAGGGAGCAATGAACACTGTGTAGGGATCATATCGATCGGAACACAGTTCATGCACGTAGCTCACTTCTAACGAGCTGGTTATCTGAAACGGGTGTTTTAACTAACTAAGCGAGACATTCAAAATATGCAGAGCGGGGGGCATGCGGACTGGATTAATCGCTGGGCTACATCATGCATCATTCACCGGTGAGAAAACTTTAAAAGTACTACAATACCAGGAAGGAAGATCGGGTTGTTGATGTTTGCCTGCCATCTACGCCTTCCACAGAATATATAAATACAGATGGATACATTTAGCCCACTTAACTTAATGATTGATTATCGGGATGTGAAGAGACTTTCAACCAGCATAACAAAAAATTTTTCTGAAGACAATCACCTATTACACCTTTAAGTATCATATTTGAATGTCCATGGTCCTCTGACATTGGTTATCATATGA